TCTAATCTGAGAAAGCAGAGAGGAATGAAGTCATCATCAGAACAGCTGGAGGCTGATGAACACAACGCTCTGCAGCAGAATCCAACAGCAGTACCACCAATCAACACAGAGGGCAGCACTGAGATACTGCAGTACCACCGATTAACACAGAGGGCAGCACTAAGACACTGCAGTACCACCAATCAACACAGAGGGCAGCACTGAGATACTGCAGTACCACCGATTAACACAGAAGGCAGCACTGAGACAGTTTTAGGGTACAGAACTAAAATTTAAACTAAAATGTAAAAACTCCGTCAGAAAAAAAGAAAAAACTCTAAATGTCGTTTTCAGACAGTTTATCAGCAAAACCAGCTGATTGGAGGTTTAGTTAAACTTAGTAGAAGCTCACATGAAGAAAATGATCAACAATAATCAAACTGACAAGGCTGTGAATTCTTATGTAAATGTGATCATTGGTTTTCTATTTTGAATAAATTAGCAAAAATCTCAAATTTTTCCCCACATTGTCATAATGGGGTATTTAATGTGTAGAATTGAATTTAATTCAGTCTGGAAATGAAACGTTGTGAAAACGTCCTGAGGTTGCTGGTTGAATTCCCCAGCAGAGAGTTTTACTTTCAGCCTGCCTGAACGTCACAGCTTTAATAAAAACACGTCAAGGAAATCCCCAACTATACAAATATTGAACTGATAATCCAGTAAAGGAAGCATCTCCATGGAGACAGCGCGATGCTAACGGCCAAAACCATTCAGGTAGTTTAACTCTGTTCTGACCCGGCAGCTCAAGAACAGAACCTGAACCTGAGGTCGGTTCCAGTGGTTCTGGTCGGGTCCAGAAGGATATGGGCTGTTGCCGGAGTCGTCGGTGACATTCTTGATGCTCTGCTGGACCCAGACCTTCTGCTGGTCCAGCTCGTTCTCCCGCAGCGCCAGATCGTCCAGCTCGGCCTTCAGCTCCATCAGCTTGTCTGCGATCTCCCTGGTGTTGCAGCCTGGTCCCACGCCCCTTAAATGCACCATCAGAGCGTGGTCATGCAGAGACACACAGAGATGTCAGCGTCAAACTTTACCATCTAATCCATTAATCTTATTAATAACGTTATATACTTCTGCTTTAACATTGTTTTCTTATTTGTCAGCGATAGTTCTGATCTAAGTTTTTATTGTTTATTACAGAATGAGTAGAAGAATAAATAATAATAATTGCATGAAATTATTGATGTGTTCACGGCACGGCTTTAATTCATTTTAATCTTGGTTTAACTTTTCCCTTGAAAAGCCATAAAAACATAAATTATGTTCCCTGCTGGCAGCCATCGACTGGTTGTTAATTGAAACATTTTATTCTTTTAAATGACTTGATGTAATATCATTGTTCAGTTCCAGGGGGCGCTGCAGATTCATTCAGAGGAGAAATGAGGGGAACTTACTTCCACTGGATGCTGTTCTTGGACTTCTTCTCGATCAGACCGATTCCCTCCAGGACGTTGGTGATGTCATAGATGCGTCGTTTCTGCCGAACGGCCAAAGTGTCTGCAGCCTGCGGAGAAAACGGGATGTAAAGGCAGCATCATGCTGGGGCTCCCACTTCCTTCCTTCACAGATGGAGACGACGAGCCTGTGCAGCTGCAGAGTTTCACATGTTTCTGTTCTGACTCGACCGGAACCAGCAGACCGACCCAATCGCTTCCTGAACCGGCACCCTGATATCAAACCAGGTCCATTTCAAACGTTATGATCCAGAGTCATGTTTCTCCTCCATCTTTCAGAAGCCAGAAGTGAAAGTTCTTTTCTGCTAATTCACAGTTTCATCATAAAGCATTCAGCAGAGGAGAAATTTCTGCTGATAGTGAGAGAACACTGCTGTGCACTGCCAGTCAGCTGGCTACATCTCTCCTTCACTTATAGGAAAAACAAACTCTGTGTTTTTAGGAAGATTTCTGGTGGTAAAAACAACAAAAAATGAAACGTCAGTCATGCTGTGAAAACTGAAGGAGCTCCACCCGTCCTTATCAAGGCAACGCAGGACGGGACAGAATAAAACAGAGACGTCTTCTGTCGTCCCACAGCTGGGACAGTCAGTGGACATTCAGGGGACAGTCAAGGGACACTCAGGGGACAGTGAGGGGACAGTCAGTGGACATTCAGGGGACAGTCAAGGGACATTCAGGGGACAGTCAAGGGACAGTCAGGGGACCAGGCCGTCTCATTTAATAAAATAATAAGTATTTAAAAACAATAATGTTTAGTTGGTGATTAATCTACATGTTTGTCTAGATCTGAGAGTGAAAATCAAACCAACAATAAATAAATATAATTTTATTCTAAATGCAGTGTTTCCAGTCCAAGGAGCCTCAGTCAAATTAGCATATTTCATTGGTATCAACTACAGGAAATATATTATTATAAAGATATTATTTTAAAAGAAAGGGAGAAAAAAGTCAAAAAGGAAGACAGAAATATCTATATGATATTTTGCAATTAATATTTAGTAAAAAATAAATAAATAAATAAAAGGCACAACCTGATAAGAAACATTGATCTAAAATATTATTAATACTTTTAGTGTCATTCTGGTGTGTAAATTTAATGAAATTATTCCATTAAAAACTGATAACGCCTGGATGTGTTATTATATTGAAAATAAAGTTTCTTTATGTTGGAAAATTCAGGTGTCACAATGCAAAGGTCAGTGGGAACGTGAATGTTCACAAGACAGCTAGAAATATGCAAATAATAGTAACAGTAATAATAGTAATAATAAGAAGAGGCTGACCAGTAAGGGCACATTTACAGCATAAGAAAGATTAGTATGTAATTATTAAAAAATAGCAACTGATTCAAAGAAATGTGCTACAGAGTGGAATAATTTGGAAAGTAAAAGTTTGCAAGACGTACATAAATATATAAACAGCAGATTATTTCCATATAGATACAGCAGCAGACTTACAGAGTCTGCTGGAAAAAGTGAAGGTCATAAATTTTAATCTATATTTAAAAACGGTTCATTCAAAATGCTTCAGCCAAAGTTATTAAAGGGTCACAGGTTGCAGAACAGCGCAACAGTAATAATCAGTTCATTTTGCCGTTGTTCCCAGTGGACAGGTCTGCATCAAAATGAGAATTTATTTAGTAAGTGAGATTTAATCATGTATAAACAAACAACTAAAACTGTATTTTTCCTGGCAGTCATAGCTTCACATCAGCCTGCAGACTGCATAGGAACAGGAAGAAGGTCTCTGACCAACAGCTAAATGTTACTTAAAGGTTAAAAAGTGAGTATTTTGTTCTTAAACCCCACAGCCTGAGAAACGGCTACCTGCTTCATCCCGCAGTCTCATCAGCACCAACCAGAGCTGTCTAACTCTCTGAGTTTCTATGCTGTTGAGTAATTAGTGAAGAATAACGACTGAAGACGTGTCCTCCAGAGACAAAGCCTTCATCCCTGAGGAAGAGGAAGATTGCTGCTACAGCTTTGGCTGAGGAGACAAAAGCTGACCCACTTTCCACACTTTGAATCTGCAGGGGGCAGAGCCTGACAAGTTACCCGGTGTTTTCAAACTTCACTCCGGGCTAACACCGCGATTCCGGCACGGAAAGCTCCGACAGCCCCGCGGAACCGCGCCGATTTTGCTCAAACGAGAGAAAAAAAATAACCGCAGCTAAAGTTGAAAGCTATGAGCTAAAGTGTATAATTCATTGAAAGCAGCCTGCAGCTAGCTGGAGCTAATGCTAAGGTTGTGACATGTGCTAGCTGACAAAGACCCACCGCCTTCAGGTCCAGGACCCCGTCCTTCGCCTCCTGCAGCAGGGTCACAAACTTGGTGGTGAGCAGGCCCAGGCTCTTCTCGTGCCGGCTCGGTGTCTGCGGCTGAAGCGAGTCCCCGGGAGTCCCCGGGTCGCCTCGGCTACAGGCCGACTCCAGCTCCATCATCGCTGGGTACTAGCTCCGCCGTTCTTCCCCGACAAAATTCAGCCAGCGAGCCCAGGAGCGGCACGCCGGACGACCGCAGTGAGACAAGCAGAACCCCCGACCGTGTAGCGGTGTTTGTTGGGTCAGTATGGCCCGGATCTCCGCAGATTACTCAGTCAAACCGAGCCGAACAAGCTGCGGACTGTAATTCAATGAGCAGTCGGTAGAGAGCCGTTGGCCACGCGAGGAATGACGGGACGGTTCAACCCGCTGGGGACCGACTGCCAATACTTCCACCGAGCTAAAAGCGTGGAGCTAAACAACCGGAAATTCAGGAAGGAATATAAAACGCTTCACTAAAAAATATGTTTTTATGACATAAAATACCCATAAAACTGAACAGTTTTGAATATTTGTTTTTTTATGAGTGAAAATAATGCATTATTCGTCCTGATAGAGTTTTAGAGTTTACCGCGAACCCTTAATCACAAACTCGAAGAAACTCCAGTTGGAACGCACAACGTATTAAAAAACACGCATGCGCATATGTGTAAAGTTATGTCAGACTGGCAGCGCTATTTATAGAATATGAAACTAGCATTTTTATGGTAACAAAAACATTTTCTTCCTTCCAGACACTAAATGTGACAATTGAAGAAATAACCCCTGAAAATACATAATACTCTCTCCCGTGAAGGAAAATGGGAGTTTTTATTATTTTATCTGAAATGTCCTCTCTTTTAATTTAAAATTACCCCTAGAAGTATATTTATGTTTCTGAATGAGCACTTAAGGAAAACATAAGAGGATAAATATTAGTCGCTGGTCTTTAAAACCAGGGGCATATCATGTCAAAACTTGTATGAATTAAGGAATTAATAGCAAAGAAAATCTGACGCATTCAGAAAAGTTTGAATACCGTGGAGTTGATGAGATAATAAAACATGTTATACTGTCAAAATTACTAGGAAGAAAGACAACAGCTGATCCAACAGTTAAATAAAATTAAAGTAAAACTAGATTTGATTTATCTGTTAAATATAACTCAAAAAGAAATAGTTGTCAGATAATATTTTATCTCAAATTAACAGTTTTATAACGGAATATAATCCTTCAGTGAAGTCCCGGTCCACACTCCGTACCAGTAGGTGGCGCTATTGTACAAATTCGCTGTAAACCGAAATAAACAACGAAGAAGTAAAAGAACAATGGTGAACCGGTCAGCTGATCTGATCCAACAGCAGAATTGACGTCGCTGTTCATTTATTCTCAGGTAAACTTCAGGAATGTTGTGATTTTGTATCTGAATCTGAACCTCAGGAGCTTCACGGAGACGCTGGCGGGCGCCGCCATGTTGCTTCAGCTGTTTCTGAACCCTGAAGCCTCTTCTCTGTCTCCAGCTCCGGACACCATGAAGACAAGCAGAAGCAAAGCGAGCGGAACCGCTGACAGGGAGTTCGTGTTCGAGTTCAAGGCCGGGAAAAACATCTGCGTGCTCAGAGTTCCGCTGCAGCTTCCGGTCCAGCTGAACATCAGGGATCTGCACGGGAGGCTCATGCTGCTGCACAAAATCCCCTGCTACATAGAAGATGGTGAGGCTGCAGCTCTGAGCTTATGAAAACGGTTCATAACGCAGTTTCAGTCGGCCCAATGTTGGAGCCGATAGCCGCGGAGGAAGCGGACTGTTTTCAGGCTGCATCCGGGTGCGCTAAGTTTATCTCTCCCTCTGCTGTCTGGCTGAGGACAGAAGTCTGAGTTTCAGTCCTTCACCTCCCAGAAAACTCTCCTAGGAGTGGCCAGACACTACAGGAAAAATATAAATATCTAGACCCACACAGTGAATAAGAATGTCTGCAGTATTATTGAACCACTACGTGAAACACATTAGAGCTGCAGCGATAAACCGTCCCGATTTATTGGCAAGCCGATCGGTGATCAGCCGATCTCATCCAGAGATCTTCTCTTCCTCAGCAGACATCAGCCTCTGTCCTCTGTTGCTTTGGGAGGTTTGGCGGTTAGCCCCGCCCTCCAGACTGTCTCCATCTCAGCCACTTTCTAGGATTATTCAGCAACACTTCAGACAAAATAACTCAGTATCGACCAAAATCAGAATCGGCAGGTCGGACATTTTAAAGATCGGAGAACGGCCAGAAAACTGCACTCAGTTTGAAAGTCTCTATTTCTGCTGATTGTGATGATTTTTCCAGTTGCAGGTAATGAAAACATGACCTTTAACCTGAAATGCTCCATCAGTGTGACTGAGCTCTGTGTGTCTGTGCAGAGCTGAAAGCCGCCCTCTCCGCCTTCATGGAGGAGCAGAGCGGCCTGGACTTCGACCGGGAGGCGGAGCTGGCCCTGCAGCGCCTCGCCTGCGGCGCCGTGGACGTCAACCAGCTGACTAGTGCGTGGGCCGCATCCTACACTCAGGTACAAACACCTGCAGCCGCTGCTGCTGCGTGAACGGCTCTGACTACTGCAGCTCTGGGGCCTCACGTTTAAAACTAAAAGCTGCTGTGTGCACGCAGGTACCGCCACCTTTCCTTTATAAATCCTAATTTGCAGGAAACAGAGCAGCCGCTGCTCCGCCTGTCGCCTCCATAAATACATTTTAATCTAAATTAGTATAAATACCCAGAAGTCTGCCGCCAGGTGAAGCAGTAACCATGGCAACGGCCTTGCTTGTACCAGTATAAGTATTTATAAGTATCTGTAAGACAAGCCAGGTTTCAGTGGATTTATGTGAGTTTTGACGCTTTGTAGTTTATTATTGTTCACAGAAAAGAAAAAGTTTGTGTAGCTGCCGCACATTTTCACGGCAGAGAAAAAGTGTGCGTATGTTTACGCAAAGTTAATTTTTATGCACGCTGATTTGTGTGTAAAATATGGCGCTGCACATTTTTTGTATGTACGCCGCTTTAGACATGAGGCCCCTGGACTTTGATTGTTCTCTGCACACTAACGTCGCAATGAACCAGCAATCAGAGCTGCTCAGACTTTCTCTGAGTTCCTCTCCTGTCTTCAGGGTCCAGTTCAAACATTCACACTGAACTTGCAGTCACACAGCTGGGTTCCGACCCGGTATCCGGCCACATTTAGAAATCCCTCTCAAACTGTTGATAATCACGTGTCTATGTGGAAAATGCCAGATTTCTTCAAAGATTAATAATGATTATTATTTTTCTGATCCAGGAGAACTTTATGTTCATGAAAAGTAAAATAGCTGATGGGAGTATTACCTCAAAAAAAGTTATTTAAATGTCTTTGAATCCTAATCTGTTAAAAATGAGTCACGGTTTTCGGATTGATGTGGTTGTGATTCCCCAACCCTCCAGCAGGGGTCACTGTTTGTGTTCCTCAGACCAGCCTGGAGCACGCTCGGCCTGAAGAGTCCAGCTGGGACGAAGACTTCGCCGACGTTTACCACGAGCTGATCCACTCGCCCGCGTCCGACACGCTGCTGAACCTGGAGCACAGCTACTTCGTCAGTGTGTCGGAGCTGATCAGCGAGCGAGACGTGGAGCTCAGCAAGCTGCAGGAGAGGTAGCGCCGTCACCGAGCAAGTCCACGGTCCACTGTTCTTTTTAATGTGACCAACAGTCACATTAAAAACTCACATCCTGCTGATTTTTCATTCAGTCATTTTTACCGTTTTTATGCAATATTACAAATGTATTAAAAGATGCAAATAATTAAATTCTTTTTAAAATAAAAAAGTCAATAGCAGCATTCCTTCAGTGAATGTTGGATCATTTGCAGCAAAGCAAACATCAACAGTTTCCTCTTCTAAACCTTTCTTTGGACACATTTTGAATCTGAATCCAACTTCATCAACTTCTCTTCTGTAAAATTCTCCAATCAATCAGCATCTGGTTATTAATGATCATCAGATTTAGTGTAAATTAATTCAACTGTTTCTTCTTAGTTTCATTATTTCCATGTTTTTGTTCCGTGATCTGAGAAATTCACCATTTTGCTGATAAAAATAAAATCTTCAAGGTTTTCCTTCCAACTGGCAGCAATTGGTTTCCTCCTGAGGCGATGCTGCCAGTCTGACTGCTCCGTCTGTCCTCCGTCTGTCCTCCGTCTGTCCTCCGTTTCCAGGCAGGCAGCAGAGATGGACAAAGTGATGCATGAGCTGGGAAACACGCTGAGCGACCATGATGTCAACGCCGTGGCTTCACAACACTTTGATGCTCAGCAGGTAAACGGCAGCAGAGACACGTCGTCCTGAGGACACGTCCACTCTGAGGAGACATCCTGCCCTCTCTCTCTCCAGGTGCTGGAGAACAGGTGGGCGAGCGAGCTGAAGCAGGTGACGGCCATCCAGAAGCAGGAGTACCAGGACTGGGTTATCAAGCTGCACCAGGATCTGCAGAAATCCAACAACAGCAGCCAAATCAAGTGAGTCTGTCGACACCAGCGTTTGGTTCCGCTTCGCCGTCGGGTTGCTCTCTGGTGAAATAAGCTGAGGCCTGCAGCAGGACAGGACGAAATGTGAGAGAACGTTTCTCCTCCATCTGGATCCTGATCCTGCTGTAAAACCCGGCTGGTTCTGAGCAGATGGGCGAGCGACGGTGAAGCTGGATTTGCTCTGATTGGTGTTTTGCAGCGAGGAGATCAAGGTGCAGCCGGGCCGGCTGGCGGAGGCTGCAGACGGCGGCTGCAGGCCGTTTGAGGAGCAGCCGCTGCTGGAGGAGAGCTTCACCATCCACCTAGGTGCCTCTGCTCCTCCTGCAGCCTGATGGTGACCCTGCAGGTGGAAAGCATGGCGGCACCTCAAGCTGTTCTCTATTCACGCAGGAGCGCAGCTCAAGACGATGCACAACCTGCGGCTGGTCCGCACCGACGTGTTGGACTTCTGCAAACACCGGCGCCACAGCAGCAGCGGCGCCAAGCTGCGGCGCCTGCAGACGGCGCTATCACTCTACTCATCCTCGCTCTGCGGCTTGGTGCTGCTGGTGGACAACCGGGTCAACTCCTACAGCGGCATCAAGAGAGGTCAGCCATCTTACCTACGTTACTGTGTAACACTGGGCAAAAGTCTTAAATCAGCCTCTGCTCTCATCATCTCACCTCCTGCCATGATTTCTCCCACAAGCTGAACATCTTGTACTTTTTAGAACCTGTTGGATCATTTTACAGGAAGGTTTTTATTAATTAGTGAAACTAGAAATCATGCAGCGATTTAAAAAGTGAAGGAATGAAGTGGCATTGATTCAGCTGAAAGAATTCATGTGAAATGAAATATTTAGAGACTTTGTTACATGATTTGTTCTCATTTCTTTAACCGAATCATTTAAACCAGTGGTGCCCAAAGTGGGTCCTGGAGGCCCGGCATCCTGCAGGTTTTATTCTCTCCCTGGTGGTAACGACCTGTTCAGCTTGTCAATGTTCTTCTTAGGCCTCTAATGAGCCATCATTTGATCCAGGTGTGTTAAGCGAGGGAGAGAACGGAAACATGCAGGATGCCGGGCCTCCAGGACCCACTTTGGACACCCCTGGTTTAAAGTATGACCTGGAGAGGGCTAACAAATAGAAAGAAGCTAAATGTGGTTTAATTCATTTCTTCTTTTTGTAAAGATTAACGCTGTTCCTGCAAAACAAATGCCCAGCAGGGGGCTCCCGTCCTGCAGCTCTTGGTCTGGTTTCTGAAGGAAACTGAAACCGCCGTCACCAAGATCCTGGTCTATAAAACAAACTGGATGGGAGGACCTGCGGTCCTTATGTGACCTCTGACCTCCGACCCAGACGTGCTCTGGTTCTGGAGACAGAGGAAGCCGGTGATGCAGACGGTGGAGAATCTACCATCAGACTGTTTCACACCTGCCAGACGGCTAGACCCACTGCAAGCAGCATTCATCTGCTGCTGCAACACACCTGCTGCAGCAGCAGTGATGCATCCAGAAGCTGCAGGGCGGTGGAGACTGACTGCCAGCTTGATGGTCAGCAGCTGCTGATTAAACTTTTTGTTTCTCTGCCTTGTTTTGATAATAAACTGAAGTTGATGAATGAAAGCAGCTGATGAGCTCCATAGCTGCTCTTCCTGCTGCTGCAGCTCTGGTTCGGCTGCATGCGACGCAGCAGCGGCTCACAGTTGAGTTCAGGCTTTTTCTCTGCTGACTTCCAGACTTTGCCACAGTGGCGAAGGAATGCACCGACTTCCACTTCCTGAGCCTGGAGCAGCAGCTGGAGGAGGTGCAGCAGGCGGTGCTGTATGCACGGGTGCAGTGCTGCAGCAAGCAGAAGCAGCCGGCAGGTTAGTCTCCCTGATCACACAGCGGCGCTCTGGTGAAGTACACCACCAACTCTGCTTAGTTTAAACCAGTGGTCCCCAAACTACGGCCCGCCGGTCGGATCCGGCTCGCCTCTACATTTGGTCACCAGAGAGCATTCAGATTTTTTTTCATATACATATAAGTCGCTACTTTATTCCTAAGCTTTGAACCATGCGTCTTATAGCCCAGTGCGGCTTATATGTGGATTTTTCTTAAACCACCAGGGGGCTCTTTAGCAGGAAGTGAATCACTGGAAGTCAAAATTGGAAATAAAAGAAGAAAGCGCCCATTAAAACAAATTAGATTTTAATAGGAAATTGAATTTTGAGAATGTTGTTGATCAGTTAAATAGCATTGAGGGGAAAAAGAAGATTTTCCGTTTTTTAAATAATACTGGGATCATTATGAGAATTTGAGGTATAGATATTAGGATCCAGTAGATGGCAGTAGTGCAACAATAATTGATGCAAGCTGCCTTTGAAATCTAAAGAAGAAGAAAGCGCCCATTTTCATTTAGCACATGCTACTAGCAGACACGAAGGATCAGCACTTTTTCTGTTACAGTTACTGTTCGGAAACTACCGTAATCAGTTCAGTTAAATCTAAACTTGGTAACTTTTTCTTTTTCAACCGTAATAAATGATATTCAGTTGACCTGTAATGACTCAGATGGTGGCTGTCCGCCCCTCTGCTGCATCGCTGTGGAAAACCTGGAGATATCTGCGGCTTATAGTCTGGAAAGTACGGTTTTTATTTCATTGATAGTGTTATTATTTATTTCCTGACTTTTGTTTTGTGAAGAACCCAGAGAGGGTTATTTGATTGTGCTTTCTGGAAAACAATACATTTTTACATTTAGGCACTCCTGCAATCGTCACACTTTTTCTGTTACAAACTAACTCCGGCCCCCCACCAGAGAAAGGA